ATTCCATATGAACTGTGATTACACATTCCTTAAAGCTGTTAACACTTTTAAAGACTGTTTACAAACTCTAGGTACTTAATGCAGGGAGGGAACAAAGATATCTGTCATTTAAAAGATTGTATACATATCTTTGCTGTTCTTACAGAGATGAACTTTTGATATTTTATGATACTTTTTTTTTTGACGCATCAGACCTTTTGAGTGATGTGGAACATAACTTTGTACATTTTTATCTCTTACCTGTAACCCTGCAGATGTGTCCACAAGACATTTCAAATTTATATTTAAATGTATAATAAATGGTACTTTCCCCAGCAGTCCAATGTTGTACTGGTTTGTTTTTGGGTTTGTTTTTTGTTTTTTAAAGATTATTCTACTTAATGTCATCCTGATTTTACTACTTCAGTGCCTGAAAATTGTGACAGTTTTAGTTGCTAAAGAAAGTACCTCGTATCTGAAACGGACAATGTGAATTGCTCAATTAATTGCGTTGGTCCTAGAATTTGATTGAAATGAGGCTGTTTTGTAGCTGCTACATAAATCAACTATATTTTCAGTGTCTGTGGTTCATTTTAATGCATGCTTACACAGAGTTTTAGTTTCCATGACCTGGTAATGTTTTTGGAAAGCAGTGTCTTTTATTTTGCCTTCCTAATTAAGTGGCTGGGGTTTGGGGTTTTTTGTTTGCCTTAATCATTTAGTTTATCAGAGAAGTTTATTAGTGTTTGCAGGCAATAGGAGCTAGTCTGCAAAGACAGTCAGTATGCATCTGGAAGATACCACTGCTGTCCTGATAGATGTAAGGTATTAAACACTTGTGTAAGGTGTTAAACACTTGGGTGTTAAACACTTGGGTAAGGTGTTAAACACTTGTAAAGTTTATGATCCGTATGCAAAAATCAGGGTCTAAGTTCAGTGTCACTGGAGGAGCTGACTTTTGAGAGAGCTTGTTGGTTTGCTGGCGTACTTTTACTCACCTATATGCTCATTTCAAAAGTAAGTCTCTTCCAAAATTATACAACATCTGCGTTCAAACAAAGTTTTCTTTTGGGTAGAAGGGTCATGTTAATAAAGCTATCAATTATAGAAAGCCTTTTAAGCACTACGGTAGAGAAATAGCTAAAACGCACGATCTTTTACAGTGGTGTAAATTTCAAAAGTTACAGAATCACGTTGTAGTTTAATTTACAATATAATTTACATTTAATTACAATGTAATTACAAAAATTAGTCAATGTAAAAATATTCAATGTAAAATACAATTTTATAATTTTTTTTTCAGTCATAAGTAATAGTATTCTATATTTAAATTGTTGGCATATCAGTATAGAAGATCATATTTTGAGCACACTGTGAATCTTGCTGCTGTGACAAATATGAGGCTGTAGCAGAATGATGCTTGTGACTTTATCTGTTTATAGTAACAGTTACCTTTTAAATTTGAGCAAAAATTGGCCTGGACTGTTTATACTGCTGGCTTGGTTTTCTAATTCAAGTTTATCACTGTTGGGAACGTAACAGTTAAGAATATTTGTCTGAATATAGTACTGGTCTAACATTCTTACTTGAGTTACATTTCAGTAATTTGCAGCAGGAGCACTCACTCTGGTGTTTGTAATTATTGCTTGCCGGGTTTACAACATCCTCTACCCAGTGGGTTTGGTAGTCTGGACTAGTGCTGCTCTCGAGTAGGAATGTGTTACTAAAAGTTGGGTCGATTTGTGCATCTAGTGAGTATGTTACTAGGATTTGGGGTGCTATTTCTGCTTCTTGAGGGTAGTTACCATTTAGAATTCTTAAAGCAATACTTTGACAAGTATATGAGTGAGTTTCAATCGCTAATCTATTTTACTAGCTTCTAGAGAGGTAGCTTTTTGCTTGCAACTGCCCTTATAGCTACTGTACGGCCAGACCCTAAAAGTTATTTATAGATATTACCAAAAGAGGTTAAACCAAACATCTAAAATATGTGTAAAATACTTAAATGTTAAGTTATCTGTGAGTTGTTCAAAACCTCCTGCTTTATAATTTTGAAAAAGCTGCATGTGGATTGTTGTTCAGTGCAGGGTTTTTTTTTCCTCTTGATGGTAAAATGCATTTTGAACTCTAAAGTCAAAACTGGTGACTTAATAATGTTCCATTCCAAATGCTGCAGCGCTGTCTCTTAATTTAGTGTCTGATTGAAAGAAGATTGCAGACAGTAAATATAAAGGCATATGTTAAGAGAAGTACTGATCTCTCTAAACTGAATTTGTGTGCATGTACGCAACTATCAGCAGTGTAATCATTGGGGTTACTTCATATGTAGTTTGTAGCCTAAAAATTAGGTTTTTTTTGATTATATTTAATTGGGCATAAATACGGTACAGGTTTGTTTACAATAATGAATATATGTACTAATGCTAACGAACAAGTTAAAGGTACTTTTTGTGTTTTTTTTTCCTTAAAAAACAGTACTTGAGTTTTAACTGGGAAATAGCATCTCTAGTAGGAGCAATTTTACGATATCTTCTGTGTGGTGCCATTGTAGGAAATGAATATTTTCGGTATGATTTTTAGCACACGTACACACACTCACATTTGCGCATATATATATATATATATATAAACACAAACACACACACACTCATATGTATTTAAACTTCAATATAATTAAAAAATCAAACTATTCTATAGACAGATTATTCTTTATATGAATAAGGCATCACAGTGATTTAGGATAAGAACAGGTTATCCTTCAGAATCTACTTACCTTTTGCTTTTACCACTTGGCTCCTTTTGCACAAGTCTGGAGGTGAAATATTTAGCCTTTACCAGTTTACAAAGCCACTCTTAAAAGTGCCTTTAAATTTAACCCTATACATAAAATGTTTCAGCATAGTTTGTTGCCCCTTAAATTTTTATGGGGTTAGAGTGATTAGCTTGTTCTGATTGCAGCAGTGTGTGTTTTATATCTAAAAATCTATATAAACTTTGATCTGAGATGTTATTAAAATAAATTCTTTACTAAGTACCTAATGACTGATAAAAGCTGATGAATAGGCTTGGTACTGGTAGCTGTTCTTACTGTGAAAATGTTATTTCTTAAATCATCACCCTCTAATAGAAAAGCACACTTACCCCACTGGTAGCTATGTACATAGCTGCCCTTCACTTTTAATCTAACAAATGCTTTTGGTCAGCGGATGACAAACTTAAGTCATTTTCAGATATATGCTTGACAAATATTGAGCACTTTCTCATCTCTTGTTTTTCTCACGAAGAATCTTAAATGAAAGAATTCACATAAGTAAAGGAGAAGGAAGACAGGTTATTAGACTCTGAAAAAGTGAAGTTATTAGTTATAGCATCTTGTAAGGAAACTGGAACTAGAAAGAAAATCTTTAGGTGGCTTCATATGTTCTTTCCTAATAGTGTAAAGCAAGCTTATTTTCAGTGTTTAATTAAATTTTGCTTGAAAAAACACTTAAGTCACTCCAATGGAAGAAAAAAAGAATCATTTTTGCCTATTGAAGTGGGACAATGAGAAAGTGGCTGCAGTCATTAATCAGATATATAAAAGAGAGTAGATAATACAGACTGGAGGATGGCAGGGACAGCTTTGTTTTGTAGTAAACAAAATTGTTTTGATAAAAATGATAGAGACTAGAAATTGCTGCAGGTAAACAGTGTTAGACATCATTGTGACAAAAGTAAAAGTGGACTTAGTCATTCATAATGGACTGACAAGCCTTGCTTTGAAAGGCAGGGGTCACACATGTATTACGAACACATTTTGTTTTCTGCTAAAATTGTTTCAGTGGTGATACTAAGGAGAGGGATAGAAGTGGAAAAAAATTCAAAGTTATTAAGAAAATGGAGTTGACTTGAAACAAGAGAAGAGTAGGGGTATAATACAGATCATGAGAACTGTCGATTTGGCTGTGAGACTTTCAAGTTCCGAGAGCTAAAACAGGTATTTGTAATGGAACAGATGAGAAAATATCCCCAGCAACTGTGACATCCTTATGCTTACAGGACTAAGAATAGCATTTTGGAGGATAATACATGCTGATCCTGGCATGTATTGGGTAGCAGTAAGACATCTGGTCAAAGTGCTGTTAACTGTAATCTGAGGGAATGCATACAAAAAACTCTTAGAAAATAAAAATCACTTTTGATTAGATAGACAACCATTTGAGTAGTGTCCTTCATAGTCAAAAAGTTAAACTATCAAAAGGGACTTATCCCTTCTTTTGTTCAACATTCACATAGGAAATTCACACCTGCAAACAATCACTGCTTAGATGTATGATTAAGGCATGAAGGTATTCCTGAATAAGAAAGAGTTCACAGTATAACTGCTTACTCATAAGTAATGTATATGAATATGTTATCAAAGCACTATAACCATTAATTACTAGTTTTAAAATTGAATTTCTATGAGTTAAGAAATATTTCAAGTGTTCAGAAGGAAAAACAATGTTAGTGGAGTTCTTCCATTTTTACTTTAAGAATTGCATATTCCATTTTGACCAGTTCTGTGCTAATGGTGTGCTGCTTGTGCAAGACACCTCTTTGTCTTGTGTATTGTATTACCTGCCTTTAACAACCCTGAGCAAACTGAGAAATCAGTTTGGTCCGTTTTTCCTTTTAGTCACAATTCCTAGATCTTACCTAGACTAATAGTGTGGACACCACTGAGAAATACTATTGCCTTCCAGATCAAGGTTCAGATGTAAAATGTGAAAGACGCTTTCACAATTCTTCACAGATGTGAAGAGTTTTTAACCCTGCTTCAAAAAGAGGGACTCATTGCGTTATGAGAGTTTGGATTTGGTTTATACCGTCTCTGGTTCTAAAGATGTCAAATATAGATATTTGGAAAAATGTAGGAGTAGATGAAGGGTGACATCTATGTATATAGATATAAAAATTGTTTTATCTGGAAGATTTAACTTTGATTAGGTTGGCAAGCTTGTGAGATGAATGATAAACATTCATCTCTGTAAAACTAGTCCACCAATACCACCTCACACCTGAAACTCACCTCTATACAAGCGGATAATAAACAACAGTACCTACTGTCTTTCAGTATGGACTTGAGGAAGCCAGCTCTGCCAGGTTCTATCTGCAAATACCAGATGTAAAGTCTTTCATTTCTTGCCAAACTGGTGATCTTAATCAGGCTTCTCTGATTACGGTTGCGGCTTATCAGCAGTCATAGACCAAATCCTGAGTCAAGGGGAGGACAGCTTTGCAAAGGCAAATAACAGCAGCTAAAATTTCAGCGCAGAAGGAGAGATAAAGCTTTTTGAACATGATTGTGCTTTTCAACCAGTTGAGTACATACATGTGTGACTTTAGTTTAAATTTTTTTTATGGAACCCTTACTGTGTTTCCAAATAGAAGTTATATGTTCCTGTCTTGTATTTAGTGCTAAGTATGCACATGCTTTCAGTATAATAAAAATCTCAAATCAAAGCATAGGGCAAATTTAGTAACGAGTTCAAGTGATTTAGCGCTACAGCACTGCATTCATTCAAATTTATATCATTTTAAATATGATTACGTGCACACATGCAGACACACTGAATAGAAAAGCATTCCTATAGTCCCTCTGTGTGTTTGTTTTCCGCCCCACCCTGCTATGCTTAGCTGTCTGCCTTACAGAACCTATGACCACTAGGGATTTTGGTAGCTGAAGAGTGGACATGTGGCACTTAATCTAGGGGAAGTAATTCCCTTGCTTTATGTAGAAGGTATAAACTGAGGGGTTTGATTTGAAAAATAATCATTAAAAAAAAAAAAAAAAAGCTCAGCAGAGCAGTGTTGACATTTACATCTTTAACTGCAGGCTTGTGAAGATTTGCTTATGTTCCTGTTTTATTTACTGCAGCAATCTGCAATGGAGGTGGAGTTCCTTGAATATTTAAAAAAAAAAAATTACAAAATATATAATCTGTGTAGACAAATGAAGTGCATAGTTGAAGACTGCATCTTCTCTCAATTTAGCATTTACTCAGTTTTAACAATTTTATATTTTGACCTGTATAGTGAAATAGATGAGGCAAGACTTAAGATTAAATTGAGATCAAATTACTGAGAAAATTTGCATTATGCTACTGCTAACTGTACTAGAAGCTGAGTATATTCTTTGTACTTATTTTTCAATAAGATGTTGCTACCTACCTCATGTCCAATAGTAATTTAACTTGCTTGAATGAAAGAAAATAGTATTAAAATAACAAATATATGGGCATTTAAGTGTATATATAGATTAGTTTCAGAGAAAATACTTTACATAAAATCAGTAAAGATTCAAAAAGACAACATTTTTAAGAAAAATCCTGAATTTAGCTTTTAGTTTTTACTTGGAAGTGGAGGACTAAGGCTTAAAAGCGACTGGTGTGACTGACTTGTCTGCTGTGTTATCCCTTCAGCGCGCGCCCCCCCCTCCCCCCCCTCCCCCGGCTTGTGTGTCATTAAGCTAGAAAGCAACTTTCTGCGCTGTCTGCAGCAACTCCATGTAAGTTGCAAGTGAGCAGCTCTTCTGCATCAGAGGCTGGCTCTGAGGAACAAGCAGTTTGGAGGGACTTAACTTGCTTGGCCTCTAACAGCTGATGATGCTTCTACTGGACACCATTGGTGAAATGGAAACTTCTGTAAGAACAACTCTAGAAGAAGTGGGGTTCCTTATAGCGTGCAGAAGTGCTGAACAAGGTGATACTTAAAACCAGAATAAATACTCCGGTGCACTGTGCATCTAATCATTAACAGCCTTATTTTCAGAGGTGCTAGATATGCAACTTCTGGCTCTCGAAGGAGCAATAATACATGAACTTTCCTTTCAGTTGTCACAGAACACTTAGCACGACGGGCTAAAGGCATACTACTATGATGAGTTTTCAAGTAAAACTATTTGAGGTCTAATCACTGAGTGATAACTACAAGGCAGTTAGTATTTTCAGAGGCAAAAAATTGATGTGAGAACAAGATAGTTAAAAGGCCATTTTTATTAAATATGGTAGTAGATAAATAACTATTCTCAGGACTTACAGTCTCAAGATTTGAGTACCAAACAATTAGTGATACTTTGTTTCTTCCTACTATGGATAATGAACAACCCAGCAGATTATCCTAAAATGATGACATGATAGAGTCATGTATACAGTTGGCTAGTACTTCTCAATTTAAAGATAATCTGGACATGGGACCCATCACCACTAGAACAACACACCCCTGGCAGTGACTCCTTAGATTGTGCTAGCCTGTGTAATAAGCATCTGGTTAAGTTAAAACAATTTTATGTTGTCAGTTTTGGAGAGCTGAATCATTCAACTGAAAATGAAGTAAGGTGCATGCGTGTAATTGCATGTGGAATAGATGGTATCAGCTCTTCACTAAATTACATTGCTCAGTAGTTTTCCTGTTACCTTTGAGCAACCAGCTAAGAATAAAAGTGAACTCTGTCTGTCTCTTTGACTGAAGTGTTTTGCTGTTGAGATTTTTCTGATCTTTCTTTTACATAAACTGTTTTCATCAAATGATTCAACGCTGACTACCTGGCAAGGTTCATTAATTAAAGGTATCTGCTAAATCAGGGTGATTTTTCCCTTTACCTTTGCCACCTCATCTTTGCTGTCCCTGAAATCAGGAAAAAATAAAGACAGCTTATGACTTGATCATTAATTTTGGAATGAACTAAGTAACCTTATGAATAAAGAAAAGCTCAAGAGGCATCTGAGATGACTTTCCTAGCACCTGTCCAATATTTCTGATAAAGGGGACAGGAACAGGTGTGTGTGTTTTTTTTTTGTTTTTTTTTTTGCACACATTGAGTTAAAAAAGCCCCAAACTGGAAAAGAAGTGAAAAACCTCTGTGCACATGGAAACTAAACTGATTTCTGAGACAGTTCTCAAAAGGAGCCAGAGCAAAATTCAAATACTGCTTAATAGGTAAAAACGTTCACTGCGGCGAAGGTGAAGCTACTGCTTGTGTTCTGGTGCTGTCATTGTTCAGAGTCTAAAATTATGCTGATAATACTCGATTTTAATTACTGAAATCTGATGGTGCTAATTCAGTCCCCTACTGGCCTACTTTTGAAGCTTTTGTCTGAGAATGAGCAAGCGGGCTCAGAAACGTCACTACAGAATTACTTAGAATGAAGATACATGTTAGAAATACTAGAGCAATTAGTGACTGAAGCTATCAGAACGGTGAGTTGTGTTCCCAAAACATCTTATCGTAGAACAGTGTAATTGCCATAATCCTAGGA